CAAATTAAGCTCTAGCTGTATGCCTAATATGACCAGTTTAAATAATAGATATAATAGGAGAAAAATTAAAGACAAATCACGCACCGTCCCCACAAAGTGTAATTGTAGGAATAAAGAAGCCTTCCCCCTCCAGGGCAAATGACAGCAGGAGTGTGTGGTTTACCAAGTAAAAATATATAAGGATAAACCGAACAATTCCGATAAAACCCCTAAGGTTTACATAGGATCTACCCAGAATAATTTCAAAACACGATACTATAACCACCTTAATAGTTTCAATAGGGAAACTTACAAACACAGTACCACCTTGTCCTCTTATGAAAGACAAAGATAATAAAGACCCCATTTTGAAATGGGAAATATTTTAAAAAATGACACAGGTATAAAGCAGGTGATAAGTTTTGTTCCCTATGCATAGAGGAAAAGTTAGCTATTGCTAGCTATAAAAAACCCAATAATTTATTAAATTTAAAATCGGAAATTCTTTGTAGGTGTAGACATAGGAGACGCTGGGTATTAGAAGAGGTTTTTCCCCCTCTTTGATGTTTTCTTCTGTTTTATTCTTTTCATTGTTGATTAAAGAACGTAACCCCTCCCTCCACCCGTTGTTGAGTTTTTACTGATTTTACTTGTTTCTTTTTTCTTTTCTTTTTCTGTCACGTGGTCATTGTTGTTTTTAGGTTTAAGCTATATATTCTGTTCGATTTTTACCTCTTTGGACAGTTTGACCCTGACTATCCGTTTAGGTGAAACCTAGGTAGGTTTACCTGGCTCTTTAGTTATATATATATATATATATATATATATATATATATATATATATATATATATATATATATATATATATAATGTGTGTGTGTGTGTGTGTGTGTAGCCGCACTAAGCACACCGATTCCTTCATAACCACTGTCAGTGGCACTACTTTCAAAATCTACCACAACTCTAACTGTAGAAGTCATAATATAATTTACCTAACAGAATGCAGACTATGCCAGAAACAATATGTGGGAAAATCTGAATGGCCCTTTCTCTACAGAATTAATAATTATCGGAATCGGATTAAGTCGGCTCCACACGAAAGATTACCTGAAGAGCCACCCCACCCGCCACAAAAAAACAAGATTTTAATAGCCATGCGAAATTCACGATGATTTAAAGAATAGAAATAGACAGAAAAGATAAATTTAGTAAAATACTAGAAGAACATGAAGACTGATTTTGCGTCTGAAATATCTTTGTCCGGATGGACTTAACAATAGACTAAACAGCACAAATAAAATTAATATATAATCTCATAGATCAACCACGACCCATCCATATTTTTTAATCACACTAGACATACATACTTGCAGAGGTAATGAGGTCTTCCGCATACACATACTTAAATATATACACATACACACATCACACACACATACCCAAAACTAAAAGATAACGTACACATAACACACACATCCCTTTCTCAGCAAGCAATGTAGCTGTCAGAATGATTAAATTCAGAATGACTAAGAAGGTAAATCTGAGACTCATGGATCTCCCAGCCTCTCTTTAAAAAAAAGTAAAAAAATACTTGAAAGAGGTCATTTGACCAATACAAGGATTAACCAAAAACTACAAAGTTCACTTTCTTTAAAGAGAGTTATTCATCCCTGTATTTCACTGCTATTATCAAACAGGAAGGTTTTCATCTGATGATGGCCATGCTGGCCGAAACTAGTCGAGAAACCTAATGTTAATAATAAAACAAAAATATTAATATAAAACAGTGTATTTGAAATTTGAATTTTTTTGACATTTTTTATTGTTCAACACACACACACAAACGCGCGCGCATACACACACACACCTATATATATATATATATATATATATATATACATAGACGACAGTTTTTTATGTTTTGTACGTTCTTTTGATAGATACAAATATTTAAGTAAATACTCTGTTTATAATAAACAGTATTAAACAACATTTCCCGGCCTGAATGTCAGTGAAATTTTCATAGCAAATACTTTTTATTATAAAACAGAGTATTTACTTAAATATTTGTAGCTATAAAATGAACGTATAAACATAAAAAATGTCTTAAAATTTATTGTCGGACTTTGTCCATTTCATAATGTGTGACGCCATTATATATATATGTATATGTATGTATTTATATATTTTAGATCTCTCTCTCTCTCTCTATCTATCTATCTATCTATATATATATATATATATATATATATATATATATATATAGATAGATAGATATATCTAAATATATATAAATACATACATATACATATATATACATATACATATATATATATATATATAAAAATTCCAAGAGGATAGTAACCAGGTAGAACTCAATGTTCAGGACAGAGTAAGAATATAATAAAAAGGTTTAAACACTAATATTCCATAGTTATAATTTATTCCATTGGAATCGTAAGTACGATCCAATTCATCAGACCTACAAATTCAAAACATATCCAAAACAAATTAAATATATATATATATATATATATATATATATATATATATATATATATATATATATATATATATATATATATCTATGTAAAATCTTTTCTTCAATCAATCTTTTCTTCATTATTTTTTGTTTTTCTTAGCTGAAATGAAAAAAAAAATATCAGAAACAACGGAGAAAAAAAAATAAACAAACAATCAAAATAACAACGACAACAATAATAACAATCGAGTTAAGTTTATTTTCTTCAAGTTATTCTGTTTTTATATGAATTTAAAAACAATAGCAAAAAACATTGTAAACAAAAAACAACAACTAAAAACAAATAATAATAATAATAATAATAATAATAATAATAATAATAATAATAATAAAATTGACCTGGAGATCGAGATTAATAGGATGTGGGTAATTAAGACTGTGGTCGCACCAATAATAATCTGAGCTCTGGGCCTCGTGAGAAAAGGAATGGACAATTCGAATAACAGTGTCCCAGGTAACACCAAAATACAAGTTGCCCAGAAAATCGCCCTACTAGAAGCATCGCATATACAAAGAAAAGTGCTATCAATTAAATGAAAATTCTCTTATAGGGCCGTGGGAACATAGTTTAGACCTATAGTTTAGTTCTACAGGATACAATGCAGGAAACATAATATTCACAAATAATAATAATAATAATAATAATAATAATAATAATAATAGCATAATAAAATCCATTTTCTTCATTTTTTCATCTTTTTAAAATTAACTAAAAGAAAAAATCCGTTGGAAATAAATACAAAAAAAAACAACAAGCAAACTAGTAATAATAACTATATGGCTAAATTCGTTTTCATCAAGGTTTTTATTTTTTATTGGAAGTTAAAAAAATACTGGAAACTAAGATAAATAATAATAATAATAATAATAATAATAATAATAATAATAATAATAATAATGGATGAAAACTGAAATTGAGGAAAATGAATCTGCCTGATGAGAGAGATGCTTGATTTGCCGGATGGACAATCATCGCTCAATAACTTTGCAAGCATTTTGGACATGGAACCCCCACTGGTTTGGCCGGACGAGAAAATGGCGGCAAAATAAGACGTTAAGACAAATCAAACAGTGGATGAAAAAGTTATCAAGAGGGGGGATGGACAGAGGGTGGTGGTGGTAGTGGAGAGTGAAATGAAGCGGGGTAGGAAGGGGGGTCGTGTATGGAAGGCCATTAGCATTGATATTGGACATTACACACAACTCAATTGACAGCTTCTTAAACAGTATTTCCGGATCAGTTTTCGTAATGATTGACTTGAGAGGCGTGGGAGAACGCTGGGGTTAGTGTGGAAGAGATATGAAGGAAGAAGAAAAGAGAAGAAAGAAGTAAGATAAATGAATGGGAAGTGAAAAAAAGAGATAGAAAGAATAGGTAGGATTAAGGAAGACGAAAAAGAAGAAGACAATTAATGGAAAAGAAAGAAAGAAGAGAAAGAAGAGAAAGAAAGAAGAGAAAGAAAGCCAAGTGAAGTAAAAGATAAAAAAAGAAAAGGGCAAGAAAAGTAAGAATTAATGAAGAAGAGGAGAAAAATAATAAGTTATTGAAAAAGAAGTATACAAAAAAGTAAGGACATACAAAGTAGAAAGAGGTAAAATAATTTAAGGACGAAATAAAGAATGAAAGAAGAAGAAAAGAAGAAGAAGTAGAAAAAAGACCAAGGAGAAGAAAAAGGTCAGAATAATAAAGCATAGATAAGGGAGTGCATGTGAAAAGTAAGAAAGTACAAAGTAAAAAGAAAAAAGAAATAAGAAGGAAGGAAAAGAAGAAGAAGAAGAAGAAGAAAAAGAAGGAGATTGTATAGAAAATGAAGTAAGAGAAGAAAGTAGGAGGTTAAAAAGGAATACAAACATGTGAAGGTAGGAGAAAAGAATGAAAAAGTATGAGGACGATGAAAATAGGAATAAAAGGAAAAGTAGAAGCAATCAAAAGAGAATTTAAAAGAAGAAGAAGAAAGAAAGAAAGAAAGAAAGAAAGAAAGAAAGAAAGAAAGAAAATGAAACGAAGACAAGGGAGAGGGGGAAGTGATTTAATGAGTAGGAGAAAGACAGAAAACGAATGAAAAGGAAAAGAAGAAGAATGTTAATTTAGAAGACACAAATTGAACGGAAGAGAGAGAGAGAGAGAGAGAGAGAGAGAGAGGGAGAGAAAATAAAGTGAGAAGGGGAATTGAGGCTCATTACAAATACGAAATAGTTTAAAAATATATATTTTCGCCTGTTGCAATTTCAAAAGCAAGATTGGTTCCTTGCAGATAAAAGAAAAATATTGGAAATCTGCTCCTCACAAGTGTTTCAAAATAACATGAATGATTCAAAAGCAGAGATAATAATGATTTAGCGATACAAACTAATTAACCCATAGCTGGGGGGAAAGAGTTGAATTCCTACCTTTTCCAAAGGTATTTGCTCTAAGTGAATATAACCAACTCAATTGGAAATGGAACTCGGCTCTCCGATTAAGCATTCCTAGTCTAAGCCTACAGCACCTGATATTCCCAAGCGGTCACCCATCTAGGTACTGACCAGGCTCGACGTTGCTTATCTTCGGTGATCTTACGGGAACCGGTTTTTCAACGTGATATGGCCGTAAGCCTAATAAGAAAAATGGGGATAAATGCATAACAGATGTTTCTACCCAAACACATTCTGGACAAACAGGTTTCTTTCAGAAATATTTTCAGGTTTATGTATTTTTTTTATTGCAAAATTTGTTTTGATTTTTACTCGAATTATCGGTTAAATACCAGGGCAGACTGGAATCTCTTGCCAGTGCAGAAGAAGAAACACTCATTTCAAAATCAGTCCAAAGTGGATGGACTGCGTCAAGCCATCTTGCCCTCGAAATACTACTGACTCTATGGAGGCTGTATATGATTCACCTTTACAAATTTAATGACAATGAAGCCTGTAGGTGTTATCGAGGATCATCTTTCTTCCAACCCTCTGGAACCAGCGCTACAGAATCACAAATAAAGAACTACGAATATAAAAGAAAGGACATCACTTTAGGACTTTCAAGTCAAAAACTAAAATGGAGAGCACATGTAACGCGAAGTGAGAATAATGACGTAATCATGAGGTCAAAAAAATTACGACAGGAGAATTAACGGCTGGAGTAAATGACGTGTAAAAAACAAGTAAACATTTGAGGTGAAAGTAAATACTGGTAAAAAATTAAGATTCAAATTTTGGTCGAGTAATGCATTGTGGCTCGGTTTGAGGAATTGGAGAGATGAGTTCGAATTCCAGTTGAGTTCATTACATTCACTTACGTGCTAATACCCTTGGGAAAAGTATGGATGCGTCTCTTCTTCCCTACCCCGCCAGCTATGGGTAAACAACAGGAAAGGCTGGATCCTACATCCTTGGTTTTAGACTAGTCTAGGAGAAAACTCTGAATTCAAGTCTCGAATTTCGGCTTCTTGTGTCACACATCTAAACTTTGCTTAGAAAATCGCCATTAAACCATTATAACTTTTAGAAACTTAAATATCTTTCATATTAAATTCGTTGTTAAATATCTGAACTGGATGCCAGAACTGACGATATCTGAACTGGATTGTCAGAACTGATCATATCTGAAACTGGATTGTCAGAACTAACCATATCTGAACTGGATTGCTAGAACTGACCATATCTGAACAGAATTGTCAGAATTAACCATATCTGAAACTGGATTGTCAGAACTAACCATATCTGAACGGGATTGTCAGAATTAACCATATCTGAACTGGATTGTCAGAACTGATCATATCTGAAATTGGATTGTCAGAATTAACCATATCTGAAACTGGATTGCCAGAACTGACCATATCTGAACAGAATTGTCAGAATTAACCATATCTGAACGGGATTGTCAGAACTAACCATATCTGAACGGGATTGTCAGAACTGACCATATCTGAACTGGATTGTCAGAACCGACAATATCTGAACTGGATTGCCAGAACATACAATATCTGAACGGGATTGTAAGAACTAACCATATCTGAGCATAATTGTCAGAACTGACCATATCTGGATTGCCAGAACTGACAATATCTGAACCGGATTGTCAGAACTGAGCATATCTAACATATGCTTAGTGTAAGTGTTACCGCCGCAAAACGCAGGTTAGCGGCTCGCTTTCGAAAAAAAGATACTCTTGGCAAAAGTGTCACCTGCTTTATCCAGCTCGGAGTTAATTGCAGTGTAGACTAGGTTCTGTAGCTTTGGTTGGCAACTAATATTCAAACCGAGCCACAATGCATTACTCTACCAAAATTTGAATCTTAATTTTTTACGAGTATTTACTTTCATCTTAAATTTTTACTTGTTTTTTTGTTTGTTTTTTTTACTCGTGATTTACTCCTGCAGTTAATTCTCCTGTAGCGAGTTGACATCAAAGATCGGGAAGAAAAGATGAGCCCAAGTTGAGATTTGAACTCAGATCACTTTAATCTAAGCGAAAATTGGTCTTTAATCGTTAAATTATAAGAACATGCAGGGGAAGAAATCAAAATTCATCAGTGGCATCGTTGTTGTCGTTTTCATGGGATAAGGAACAACAATCTTCATTTTTATTAGATGAAGTATTGGCAATAGTTATTATTATTATTATCCGATTATAATTGTGCTTGTGTCTCCATTTATTAATTCACACACCCTGTCAATACCTTATAAATAATGGACTATTCCGTTTTAATCACGCGGAATTAGGGAAAAAAAGAAGAGAAATTGATAGAAAGAAAGAAAGAAAGAAAGAAGTGAGAGAGAAAACGACATGAATATGTAAAAAAAAAAAAAACCAAGAAAGAAAGTGAAGGTAAAATATGTAAATGAAGTCTCCATGAATATGTAGAAAGAAAGAAAGAAAGAAAGAAAGAATGAACGAAAGAAAGAAAGGAAGGAAGGAAGGAAGGATGGACGATAGAAGTGCTTCACGTCTGTTTCAGTGAAATGGAAAAAGTTGTCAATTTAAAATCATTTCATTTGTATTCACTTCTTAAAATAACGACCAGCATTCATATTGATGATTGTTATTGTAATATTTTGTTAAGGTTGTTAAGCTCAAATATTTAACGATACGACGGGGGAAATTCTACGGATATTTTATTGTTTTAGAATTCGCCATGGGCTTATTCACTCATTAACTTAATAAAGATTCATCAGAAATTCAAATGGGAAAACATTGAAAGTTTCACAAGTCTTTGTTGTTGTTGTATTTATTATTATTATTATTATTATTATTATTATTATTATTAATAATAATAATAATAATAATAATTTTGAATGATATTGTCTTCATTTTTTATTAGATGAATCTTTGTCAATATTTATTCCTAATTTTTTAATAATATTGATTTCATAACCATTTTGTATTAAGCATTGTCAGTCTTATACTGATCCCTTCCTTTGTTGATTCGCTTTAGCAATACCTCATAAATAATGGACTATTCCGTTTTGATCAAGTTTACAGTGGAGAAAGGGTACTACTTGGGTTCAGTGAGAAAATGAAAGAAAGAAAAAAGGTAAGATATAAGCTGAGAGAGTAAAAGAAAGAAAAAAGAAATGAAAAAGGAAGGAAGATATAAGTTGAGAGAGAGAGACAGAGAGAGACACAATACTAAAAATATATAAAAATACATTTTTATAGTAAATTTACCAATAACATATATTATGATCTATACTATATATATATATATATATATATATATATATATCTCCAAGTATAGGATTGGCGTATACGGAATAAATTCCAATAACCAACAAATACTATTCTTAAAAGAGTGCTCCATACAGAGTGGAGCAAATATAATTATTTATTCGAAAATTATAACATAAATATGTTATAAAATCACTACAAAAATAGGCATTTTGCTTCAACACTTCTGGTGTCTTATCAAGTGAAGGTGTTGAATGTAGGATAAAGAGTTTTAAAACTTTAAAACCCTTTATTCTACATTCAACACCATTACTTGATAAGACACCAGAAGTGTTGGAAACAAAATGCCTATTTTTGTAGTGATTTTATAAATATATTTATGCTACAATTTTCGAATATATATATATATATATATATATATATATATATATATATATATAATAAAGAATTGAGGGATATTTTATTTATTAATTCGACAGATTTCATCACTTTATTTTTAATTGATACCCATGTTTGAGTAGACGTCCCGTTTATTTATTAAACAGGATACAGATTTATTTTCATCTGGCGGTCGTAATATTTGTAGAATTCGAAACTGAGTCCCAACCCCTAGCAGGAGAAACCGTCGTTAGATCCGTCACACTTTAGAACAACTCGGCTACGAAGGGACTTGCCGAATAATATCTAAGCTTAAATTCTCTTCAGATTCTCGAATGTTCATATCAGCAGTTTCTTATCCTAACATAAACAAAACGATATAATATACTGTTTAATAAATAAACGGAGTATCTACTCAAATATGATCATCCACTAAAATAATGTTTAAAGGATTATATATATATATATATATATATATATATATATATATATATATATATATATATATATATATATATATATATATATGTGTGTGTGTGTGTGTGTGTGTGTGTGTGTGTGTATTTAGGCAAGACGACTGAAAATGTACTGCAATTATAGCATTTATTTAATTTTTATTTTGTTCGTACAATTTTTTTTCTTTTCTGGCCACAAAATTTGTAAAAGCTACAAAGGTTTTACATTTACAAGCGCTTTCGGCCATACCTTTAACCTTTATCAAAGATCATTTTATTTTTTATATTTAACTGAATGTATGGGTTGTGTTATATATGTATCTAGAGTTATAGGGATGTTTTATTTAAAACACGGTCAGTACATTGTGGCCATGTTCCTAATTAATATTATTGAATGTTGGCCTTTTCTTATTAGGGCTTCCATTATTTTTAATCTTTTTTTTATATATATATATATATATATATATATATATATATATATATATATATATATATATATATATATATATATGGACGATATTTTTATTTTAACGAAAACCACAAAAGAAACAGATATATCAAAATCACATTTGAAAAAAAAATCTGTCCTTAACTTTACCTATGAACTAAGTTAAAAATAAACTCCCTTCCTTCTCGTAGAATATTGTAACAAGGCTTTCACAACATCATTGTATAAAAAACCCATGAGCAGCAACTCTTGCCACCTTAACTTTAAGAGTGAATGCCCATTTAGATGTAAAATAGCAGTTATAAATAGTTTCATAAAGAGAGCACATGAGAATTCATCCTCTCGTTTACTTTTCCTTAAAGAACTCGACAGCGAAAACCAGAGAGTAGTTAACAATGGCTATCCTAAATAGTTCACAGACCACAAAAATACACTATTTCTTTCTAAAGTAACTAATACTGATACTGAACACACGGACAAAAACAATAACATTAACATCTTCTATAAAAGCCAAATATACGTCAACTATAAGCAAGACGAATCTTCCCTTAGAAATATCATAAAGCTATACACTATTCCAGTCGACCCAAACAAGAAAATTAAATTATCTATTACAAAAATTTAAAAAAAGCGAACCTTATTATAAAAAATACCTGTAAAATCAA